GTCTTCTGCATCCTGGCTGTCGGCCTCCTCCTCGCCTGCCTGGTGGCCGCCCTGGAGCTGTGGTGGACCAGCAACCGGTGCCGCCAGGAGACCCCCAAGGAGGTCTGTGCGGGTCCTGCTCCCCTGTTCTGCAGCCAAGGCTGGGAGTCCTGGGTGGCGGTGGGCACTTTCCGTCCAGGCGGTGCTGACTGAGGCTCCTGCCATAGACAGCGGTACACATGGGGGAGGATGGTGTCTTTGTTTCATTTTGATTTTAAAGCCAGAGACCACATGTAGGGGGTGTTTTCATGTCCAACAGAGTGCCAAGGCAGCAGCCATGGCCGCTGACTTTCCCTGAAGAGTGGGCACGGCCTGAACCACGCAGAAGGGCCCACCCTGCCGCCCATGCCCATCTGCAGGGCCCAGCCTGGTTCTCCTGGGTTTCTCACCCAACCCAGTGGAGGGGGCTGGCCCTGCCCTTCCCCCTTCCCCCCTCCCCCCTCCTTCCTCCCTCCTGGCCTCCTGCAGGCACACCCAGCCCTGGGAGCCCCGCAGCCCCCAGCTGCCCCTTCCTGCCCTCACCAGCCTCAAGCTGGTTCTGCCTTCACACTTTCTTCTCCTGGGCTTCTGCTCTTCTTCAAGCTCTTTTTTGTGTGTGAAGTTTTCGTTAAGGTCCCCTGGAGACAACTTCTCTAAGGGAGGGTGGTGAGGAGTGGGGCTTGGTAAGGATACACGGCCATCACAGGCCGTCGCTGCGGCCGTATACACCCAGCTGCTTCTCAAGCCACCGTCCCTCTTCCAGTTCAGGTGGAGATGCGCGGGTCTGAATTTCAAACAAGACGCAGTAGAGGAACCAGCACCAAGACCAAAGGTGCAGCACAGCCATGGCTCTGCCGCCTGGAGAAGCGGGCCGGCCACACCCGGGTGTCAGGCTGTGCAGCCTGGCAGCTGGCGGTGAGGGGCTCTGCCCCGCGGGCCTGTGTGCGCAGAGTGTCAGGGCCAGTGGGGTGTCTTGGAGCTGCTCCTGTAGGGCTGGGAGGACAGGCCCTCGTGGATCCACTCCCCGTGGCTTGTTTTTTAAAACCGAAGCCCAAAGCCCATTTCCTTTGTGCACATTCCCCTCAGGTCAGGGGAAGGGAGAGATTCCACAGGAGGGTGCGTCGCACAGACAGGGAGGTGCCACCCTGGGGCCCCGAGCAGGCTCAGTCTCAGAATGTTCCTGGGAGCCAGGTTCGGTGAGAGTCATTCTTCTGGACTGGAAGCCCTGTCTGCTCAGGTCGCGTCCCTTCACACCCTAGTGTAGTGTTTAGAGACAGGCTCAGCCTGGACAGCCCAGAATGCAGGGCTGTGAGGATGAGTGTGTGTGAGTGTGAGAGAGTGTGTGTGAGCATGTGTGAGAGCGTGTGTGAGTGTGTGTGTGAGAGAGTATGTGTGAATGCGTGTGACTGTATATAAGTGTGTGAGTGACTGTATATGAGTGTGGGGGTGTGAGTGTGAATGTGTGTGAGAGTGTGTGTGTGACTGTATATAAGTGTGTGAGTGACTATATGAGTGTGAGAGTGTGAGTGTGAATGTGTGTGAGTGACTATATGAGTGTGAGAGTGTGTGAATGTGTGTGAGAGTGTGTTTGTGTGAGTGTGTATATGTGAGTGGGTGTGTAACTATAAGTGTGTGTGACTATATGAGTGTGAGGGTGTGTGTGTGAATGACTGTATATGAGTGTGAGTGTGAGAGTATTAGTGTGCGTGAGTGTGCATGTGATTGTATATAAGTGTGTGAGAGTGTATGAGTGTGATTGTGAGAGTGTGTGAATGTGAGAGTGTGTGTTAGTGTGAGTGTGTGTGACTGTATATATGTGTGTGAGTGAGTGACTATATGAGTGTGAGGGTGTGTGTGTGAGTGGCTGTATATGAGTGTGAGGGTGTGTGTGACTGTATATGAGTGTGTGTGTGAGAGAGTATGTGTGCGTGTGACTGTATATGAGTGTGTGTGAGTGATTGTACATGAGTGTGAGAGTGTGTGTTAGTATGAGTATGTGTGAGCGTGTGTGTGACTGTATATAAGTGTGTTTGTGTGAGTGACTATATATGAGGGTGAGGGTGAGGATGTGTGTGAATGTGTGTGTGTGAGTTACTATATATGAGTGTGTGTGTATGAGTGGCTATATATGAGGGTGAGGGTGAGGGTGTGTGTGAATGTGTGTGTCAGTTACTATATATGAGTGTGTGTGTGTGAGTGGCTATATATGAGGGTGAGGGTGTATGTGAATGTGTGTGTGAGTTACTATATATGAGTGTGTGTGTATGAGTGGCTGTATATGAGGGTGAGGGTGAGGGTGTGTGTGAATGTGTGTGTGAGTTACTATACATGAGTGTGTGTGTGAGTGGAGAGAGAGAGGCAGTCTGGGGAGATGTAGACAGAGGTGGAAAGAGAGAGACAAGCCAGGAAACGGGGTGGTGGAGCCATGTGAGCAGCTCCCTCCTTGGCAGTAAGCCCCCGTCTTCCATTCTGGCTCCTGCGTGTGCCTGAGTGCGGGCACAGGAGTGAGGATGAAACTTGGTTCCTGCTCCCACGGGAGGGAGAACCGGTGAGGAGGCCGGTGGAGAGTGCTGGGTGCTGCGTGTAAGGACAATGCTGTCTTTTTCCTATGCTCACGGGCTTCTGGTCTTCAGGTGAAGCCCTTCCCTCTCTCCCTCCCTCCCTCCCTCCTTCCTTCTTTCTTTCTTCACACCCCCCCTCAGCCTCACAAAATGTGTAGTGTGGTTCCTATGGGCCTGTCATTTTAATTGGCATTAGATTATATATTTCTTATTCTAAGTCTATTTTCTTTTTTTTAACATATATTTCTTATTGATTTCAGAGAGGAAGGAAGAGGGAGAGAGAGG